GGATTGAATTCGACGGTTCGATTTGTTGTTCGCAGCCGTTCGAACGTTCGTAGGCGACGCAGCTTCTAGAAACTAGTCTTTACATTTCTTGTACAGAAATTTTCAGTTTGTGCCGTTTCTTAAAGCACTTCCAAAGGCTGATTGGCACATCTTCTGTTCAGTAAGAGGGCAGAATTTTCTGAAGAAGTGTTCTTGAGTAAGTAAGTATAATATATAATATATAAATAAAGTACATAAGTTGTAGGTATGCACATATGCATGTCGGGAGGGTGAAATTCTAACCTAGTATAATATGTTTTTTCATCATGTGTACTAGTGTGTCATTTAAGCGTTTATTAAACGGAGCGAGATTCATTCATCCGTTTATTAAACGGAGCGTTTAAACGTTTAAACCGGAGCGAGATTCATTTACTCGCTATTTTTAAAGCGACTAGAGGAAGACTTGCTCTCAGAGACGGAGTATATTCTTTTTCGAAGCAGCAAATGCTCCAAGTACTGTGAAGAATCATCCCTTCTGTTTCCATCATAATTAATGTAGGTCAAATGGATCAGTTATATTTAACGCACCCAAGATGTCGACCTCTGACAACATCTTGCTCACCGTAGTGAAAGAGGATTTACTAATTTCTGTTCTTTTTGTAATATTGCCCATCATGCAGCGTTTGCATCTTCTATTACTTTTTTACAGAAGTGGCCATCTTCTGTTCACAATGTGGATGGCATGGAGAAGTCATTTGATGTGTCTGTATTTGGCAATTCATGCAAATGTGAGTTCACTGCTACTTTTCCCTTTGTGCCACAGTTACCTTCCTGGACAAAACGCTTATAGCCACAAGAAGCGTTGTGAACTTTGTCATTGCATGAGTCTCTTCACTCGGCTGTTTCACGTTTTTGTTGCAAGTTTTGATTTGTGCGGCATAACTCCAACGCATTTCGCGGTCTGCCATGGCTGGTCATAAACCCGAGTGAGAAAGGAGGAGGGTTCAGGACTGTGGCATGAAACTCAGCTGTGTCCTTCATAATATTGAGGCGTTCTTGACGGCCATCGTGCTCATTCAGTTGCAGCATTTGCTAGCTACTTAATTTGTTAATGCTTTGTTACTCTTTTCTTCAGTGACAAACTGTGAAGATATTCAGAGGACCAGATGTGGCATGAAATGTTGACGGGAAAATGCCGTCCGAAGAACACTTTGCGAAAGCCTTCATTTTCGAGTGTTAATTTCGAACAATTGCAGAGCCGTCTTTTTCAAGTTCCATCAGCTTCAGATGTTTCTGGCTATGCCACTTTTCAGCAACACTAGTGTCATTCTCTTCAAGAAACGTCGTTGCATTGCACGCACTAGGAAAACGTACTCGGTTTGGAGGAGTTCGCTTGTTACCGCCTTCATCGTCTTAGTAGACGCTGGTCTGCCTGTTACGGATACAGTTTGACATGGCCTGTTGTTTTGTATATGTTCATTTGTTATATCCATGTTTAGACAACTTCTTATATACCATAGGGTTCACTTAGGTAAATTTGACTGACTGACTTCGATAACATAAGGTTGAATGATGTCACACGCCCATCGAAAGCGATTAGATGACTAATGAGTGCCAACTAAACGGGTGAAAAGAGAACTCGGTGTTAACTTTTCTTCTTTCTATTGATCATTGGTAGCGCGTCAGTTCATTGGGTTTGAAGAACATCGCGATCAGACTCCTACGACTCTTGCCTCGACTTTGTGAATAGAATCATTTCTATGAAATCTGCGTATTGTATCTTTAGTCCGTGCACTGACCAAAAGAACTTTTTATGTTCATTGCTAATTGATTAAAATTTTTCAGAATCGGCTAAATGGGACTCAAGTCAGGCATTGTAAGTTTCGTGTACTTCGTGCATTTTGAATTTACACTAATGTTATAGCTCAACGAATACGTTGTCATCGGACGTAAGCTGCCAACGGAGAAAGAACCGCATCCGCCGCTGTATAAAATGCGATTATTTGCTCCAAATGAAGTAGTGGCGAAGTCGCGCTTCTGGTTTTTCTGTAGAACTTTGAAGAAGATCAAGAAAACCAGTGGCGAAATTGTGTCCATCCAGAAGGTGTATATCTGAAGTATCTGGTTATTTGCGTTTACTATGAATCTTCTGCAGATCTTGGAAAAGAAGTCCAACACGGTGAAGAATTTCGGCATCTGGCTGCGATATGATTCCCGTACCGGCACACACAACATGTACCGTGAATACCGGGATTTAACAGCAGCGGCTGCCGTCACTCAATGCTGTATGCACGATTTTGTGTACTGTTGGTATTAGTGGAGATCAACTTGCTCTTCCTATAAGTTTTACTCTTTGTCCAGTTTCTCGAATGAGTACTTGCCGCAAATGAATGACATGAGTATTATTTGACATTAATTAATATTTTTAATGATAAATGGCATGTAAACGTCATTCCAAAATGCGTAACACAGAGCAATTATAATAAACACTGTTAACCTATTGAGTCGTTACAGATATCTCGAAGAACAATGTTTTCATGAATATGTCTCCGTCCTTGACAAATTAATTAACTCACTCTTGTTTTTTAAAGTAGTGTTTGGAGGCTTGTGATTACGTAGATTCTTAGTTTTGCTTCTTGTTTGTATGTACAAACGAAAATCAGAAGCAGGATAGATGCATGTCTAATTGAGGATGAGACAAGAGAACAAAAGCAGACAGCATAATGAAGCGAATTTATTATGCTTTGTCAGGGATAAATGTGATAGATCCTTCGATTCAGGATTATGGTCGAATTACATTACCTCTAGATATTTATGTGACAGGCATTGGGAGTGAGACAGTCTCGATTGCCTTTGTTTCAGGACTACGGTCCATAACTAAGAATGCAATCGACTACATTTATTGCTGGAATCCATAATACTACTTGTGGAGTAACTGGAATGAGTTAAGATGGAACTATCTTCATCGCTAAGAGAAGGTACAGCTGGATAAATTATTTCCTTGGTTGTTATCCAGATGAATCACTACTGTTTTTTTT